AGGAGGAAGCGAGAGGAAGAAGAAGAAGAGAGAGAAGTGAGAGAGGCGAGTGAGCGGCGGCCCTCCTTAGGCGGCTAGGGTTTCGATTTTGACTCTCTGGAAGAGAAAAGGAGAGAAGGATTGGGAGAAGAAAGAGAGAGAGAGAGGGTGAGTTCTTCTTTTATTTTTATTTTTTATGCTTTCTTTGCTTTGGGGAATAGAAGAAGGATCAAGAGAGAGGGAAGAGAGGACAAAGGGGCGGCGGCTGCCGCTAGGGTTTGATTTCGTTTCAAAGAGGCGTTTATATACCTAGTCGATTACAATGACCATTTTTCCCTTAGGGTTTTCGGAAATTAATAGGGCCTTGCACCGCGTTTTTGGGCAATTACCAAACTGCCCTTCCCCTTTCTCTAAACTAAAACGAGATCAACAAAAAATGTGGTTAACGTGTTTCGAACCCTCGTTCTTAGGGTCGAACACGATCTAGATCTGGAAACTTAGCCAGTTGGGCTGCTGGCCCATCATGAATTAATATTATCATCTAATATGGTTTTATTCATTTAAAATCCTTAATATGAAATGTTAGATGCAGATTAAGTTTATCTCTTTTCTTTTCCAATACGTCAAAATACATCCTAATAACTAAAATCCTTGCAATAATCAATTTGAATTTTACTAACAAAATTATAATACGAGGATTACGTTCAGTGGAACGTGGTAAAAATTATAATTAAAATTATCAAAGTTCTAACGAACTACGTGGACTTTGATCCCCTCTAACGAGTACGTAGGCAACCGATAAGGTTCAAGTCCAACTAACCAATTAACTTTATCTTTTACGTCAGTGGGCGTACAATTAAATTACAATTAATACGATTTAATTTCTTTAATGGTCTAGTGGGACCCTAAAATTACAAAAATATTACAAAAATACACCCAACTCGTATAAAACTTATCGACTTAAGTAGTACTAATTTAGGGCGTTTTGGGGTGTGATTTCACTTCCCCACACGTAACCGTACTCCCGAACCCAAATCTCTTAACCGCAGACCATATGTCGGTTTTGACCCTAAGGTTAGAGCCGATCCGATGAGTGTTCGATCCACTCCAAGTAAGATCGATGGCGACTCCCAAAAATGCCGACGCGACGACATCGAACCCCCGGAGGGACGGTTGCGACAACTGGGACATGGACCCTGCTGCTGTTAGCTACCCTTGGGAGGCTTCCCCGGGACATGAGGATTTCTACCCACCTACAGCTGGCGACGAAGGCGATGAGAACTAAGTTGGCTCTGCCTGCTGACCCATCGAGTTGGGCTCTGCATTTGTCTTTCCTTCCAGACTAAGAATCCATATTGTGTTTCCTTTTCTCTTGTCTTGTTTCTTTGGCTTGTAGACTTGGAACTATGGTTTCTTTCACCCAATGTGTGTGTGTTTTGCTGACTCTAGCTCTGTACCCATTTGATTGGTCCGCCCTCCAGTCACCGTTCCTGACCACTTTTTCACGGTAACATCGTTCCCCTTCCATCTGCTCCATTGAGGACACTGTCGCATTTAAGTGTGGGGGGTTCTTTGTATTCATTGGAACGTATATATGTGTGCTTGGAGCCTAGTTCGCTGTCCAAATCTCAGAATTTGAGGGCTCGAAGCACTGCTGTTTGCTTGATCATATGGCACTGTGGAGTTAATTGATGAATATTATGGCTTTCGAATTTATGCATGACAACTGGAGTGTGACTAGGACAGCCTATAACGATGACTGAGACGTGCAGTAGAATTGTGTAGGGGTTCAGTTTTTCAACTGTTTGCTTACCAACTGTGACTTGGATTGATCACTTGTTCTTGACAATCGTTTATGCATCTAGTTCAGGGAATCACAATGAGAGATAGAGCATATAGGTAGCCATGTGAGATTTGAGCATGCTCATTTCTTTCTTGTGCGATAGTTCCCTCTTCCATGATGTGTAGCATTCACGTTGTCATTAGCTAAGATGATGGAGGCATAGGATAAGTCCACGACCAAATTGACTGTTACGATGTGTCATACCCCCTAGTCAGCCCTTTGAGCCGTGTGTTCTCCTTTCTTTCGGTCTACAATGAAAAATCACCCTTTTGCATCTCTTAGAAGGTTCCACATAGTGGTTTTTACATGTTCTCTGCTGTTTCTGCTAAATATAATGTGAGGGTTGGAGGTAGTTCTTAAAAAGTTGGGCGTGTGTTTGAAAAATGTGCATAGGTGGTGGTTCTCTCGAGAAATGAAAAAAATGAATGAAAGCAAAAGAGAGCCACCACCACAAATCTGAATAGTGCCCATTAAGTAGTGTTTCTTAGCAGTCTGGCTTGGAAATACTAACATTATTGTGACCTCCTTCGCTCTTGTGCTCTAAAGAATTTGAGTAATGCCGAATGGCGGAAAGAAAGTAAGTGGTTTGATTGGTTGTGATTGTGTTGGGTTTGGAATTGTGGAACCTTGTGCTATGAATACTTCCACCACCTAAAAGGCCTTTTCCCCATGTCCAAGACCCAAGCCAGTCATTTGAACCTGTGTCTAAGACCTCCGGATTAGTTAGTGATGACACCCATTTATGTGAACTCTAACATTTAGAGGTTGTCGTCATGGTGAAGAGACGTTAGGGATTGAGAGAATAAGCATGCGCATTTTTGCAACAAATTGTCCTGATCCCATTGGTCGAGAGTGAGCGATTCATTTTCTCATATTATCTATACTCTTTACCCCGGCGAGGACCTAGATTGCTCGGTCTCAATTATGATATCTTGAGTTTTGTGCATGAGGTGACTGTCTTGAGTAAGTGGTTGAGTCAAGTCTATGTTGGTTGATGAGTAGAAGGGAGACTCCTCCTTTACTCGATTTTGCTGCACTCGAATGTCCTCTGTGGTGGTTGTCCAGGTTGCGGTTGAAGTTGTTCAGGTGTTGATGTTTGAAAGCCAGTATGATTCCCGTGTTTTGTGCCTATGTGATATGTCCCCAGGGGGTTGCATGATTGAGATCTTTCGAGCTTACCTTGTATCTGACTTGGTTTGCTTGGGGACAAGCAAACGGTTAAGTGTAGGAGAATTTGATAGCGTCGTATTTCCACATGTTTTCACCCTTGTTTCTTGACCATTTTAGCTCGAATTTGTTGTTCCTTGGCCTATTTTACGCTAGGTTGTGTTGTTTTGTCGTATTTCAGGTCCTAGCAAGTAAAGAGGTGCATAGGCGCAAGTTTCGGATCATTTGGAGGTCAGGTGGCGATTCAAAGAGAAAATTACGGGCAGCCCCTGCCCATTTACGGGCATAATTGCTCCTGGCATGCCCGTAAATGCAATGTCGAGCCTAATTCTTCAGGAATTCCTGTCGCAGAGACAATTACGGGCAAGAGTCAAAGTAACTACGGTCGTAATTCCATAATTACTGGCAGTAATTGGGTAATTACGGCCGTAAATCCTTTCTTCTGAGTTAAGTGAAACGCGCGTTTTGGGCGATTTACGGGCAGACCATGATTACGACGGTAATTCAGCCCGTAATTCGCCCAGAATCGGGTTTTTGAGGCAGATTCCAGCCAAAGGAGAGGGAGTCGACTTTTTGGAGCAAAAACAGAGTTTAAGAGAGAGAAAGTGCAAAGAACAAACCCTAGGAGCTATTTGGAGTGGATTTCTCACCATTAAAGCCCAGATTGCATCCCCAGGAGTGAAGATTGACATCCCAGAGCAGATTCTTCCCATTGTTATGAGTATGACTGCTTTGTATTCTGTTTCCCTCTCTCTCTCTATGGAGTAGAACTTTCTCTCACTTGGGTATGAAGAACCCTAGTTCCATGTGTTAGGAATCTTGATTGTAATTACGTTGGATTGTGATATTGCTTGATTATAATCGATTGAAGTGTTTTGATTGAGTCAATTGAAGTCTGATCATCTTTTATTGATTTCTGCTACAACCTGAGATAGATAGAATTGTGATATTGCTTGATTATAATCTTTCTTTGTACTGGAATCTAATTCCAGTAGTGGAGTTCTGTGTTCATTGCCTCAGCGTTCTATCCCAGTGAAGACTAGTCGTCTGCCGGGTAGTTTGACTGAGAGGGCTTGGTCAGCTTAAGAGATTCCAAACTACTGTCGGATCTTCCGCAGTATAATCAGCAGTAAAGCAACCAAAAGTAATTACAACTGTGACCTAACTAAGGAGCTAGGGGGACTCATTCCCGAGTGACTCTTCCTTTGCTTTAGAAAACCGAACCATTTCCTGCTTTCTTACTGCTTTTAGTTAAAATCACAATCACTCAACTTAGTTTGCTAGATAACAGATATACACGGAGTAGGCAGTAAATCTAGACCCCGGGTTGACAATTAGAGCTTGCCTGTTACTGCATTTCGGGACTGCGATTACACTTGGTCGCAGTTTGGTGTTGTGTTTTAGCATGTCAATTTGTTGCAAGTTCGGAAATATATAATGATAGCCAAATAAATGAAATTGGTTTTACAGTTGCAAAAATCCATGTAATGTTATCTTGCAATTGGGAAATGCAAGACCAATGTTGCTATTAAAGCATACAATTGCAAACCAAGTGCATATATTGTTCATATTGTCACCTCACAATTTATGCAATCCAACTCATATTAATTTTATTGCACAACAATCAATGCAATTCACTTGTAATTGTAATTTCTTTTTTAAAACAATTATAAAAACATAAATAGTCAAATAATTTAATAATAAAAATGGGTTAATTGAGATTACAAAAACCGTTCAAGTTTGGTCACTCGAAATATTTAAATCCATTGGTGGTACTTTAGTTTACTGAAACCGTTCACGTTTGGTCACTCTTAGTCCAATTCTGTTAACTTTTGCTTACGTGGCAGTCAACTCTAAAAGTTGACCGTTAAATGTGTGACGTGGCAATTAAAAAATAATTAAATAAATAAAATTTAATTTCTTAAAATTTTCACCTCATTTCTAACTATTAAAAAGATAAAAATAAAATTATTAATTATTAAAATTAAGAACGAACGGCGAAACCTCTCTCATGTTCTCCGCCGCCGTATTCTTGGCCACAAACGGCGGTGATTGTTGGGTTCCCGCTGAGATAAATCCTCTGAAGCCGAGGCCAACGCCGCAAAACCTGAACCCTACCAGGCCTAAACTGGACAGCACAGGCCTTGAACTCCCCAAGGGCACCTCCCGCTCCTTCCAAGCTCCCACCGGCTGGTCCAACCGTTTCTGGGGACAAACCGGCTGCGATTTCGACAATTTTGGCAGAGGTTCCTGCGCCACCGCCGATTGTGGTTCCGGGCGAATCGAATGCAAGGGGGCCGGCGCCAGCCCCCTGGCACTTTAGCCGCGTTCACTCTCGGATCCGGTTCCCAGGATTTCTACGACATCAGCCTTGTCGACGGCTACAACCTGCAGATGATTGTGGAGGCCAGCAACGGCTCCGGCGACTGCTCATCCACAGGGTGCATCACCGAATTGAACCGGAAGTACCCAGCGGAGCTGGGATCGGAGAACGGCGCTGCCTGACGGAGCGCTTGCGATGCATTTGGGAACCCAGAGTATTGCTGCAGGGGACTGTACAATTCGCCGGCAACGTGCAAGCCGTCGGTGTTCAAGAGCGCCTGCCCTAAATCGTACAGCTACTAGGGGTGGCTATTTGAACCGGGACCGGATTAAAAACCGGAAACCGGACCGTATAACCCGGACCGAAACCGGACCGGGACCGGATAGTAAACAATTCAATCCAATCTTTGGGCTTAGATTTGAGGTAAAAAACCGGATAAAGACCGGATAAGAGAGCTCAACACCCAAAACTTAAGGGTAATTTGCATAAACGGTCACAAACCTTTGCACTTAGCACAAAACTTAACCAACTCCTCACCCTTTAAGGCCTTAGACCACTCAAATCCCACAATATCAATGTAAAATCAAGACCGAATTGGGACCGGACCGGATTAAAACCGGACCGGATCAAGACCGGACTGTATCCAATCCAATCTTTGGTCCTTATATTTTCAAAAAGACCGGACTGTACCAGATCAATTTGGGCCAATTTAACCGGACCTGACCGTATTGCCACCCCTAACAGCTACGCCTACGATGACGCCACAAGTACTTTCACTTGTACCGCAGCCGATTACACCGTCACATTTTGCCCCACCCTCCCCAGGTAATAATAATTAGTGAATTCTCAACTCCAATTCTTAATAAGAAGAATTAAAATAATTTATGAACATCTCGATTGGAATGAGAAAGTTTTTGGGATTTCTTAGATTACGTATGTTGTGGAATGGAAACAGTCTGAAGTCGTCAAGAGATTTGCCACCACCACCGCCAAAGGGTCCGGCAGCAACAACATGGGAGGAGGAGGCCTGGTAGGGTTCTGGTACTTTTGCGGCGTTGGTCTCGGCTTCGGAGGGTTTATCCGAGCGGGAACGACAGCAACCACCGCCGTTTGTGGCCAAGAATGCGGCGGCGGAGAACAGGAGAGGATTCATCGTTCGTTTTTAATTTTAATAATTTATAATTTTATTTTATCCTTTTAATAGTTAGAAATGAGGCGGAATTTTAAAAAATTAAATTTTATTTTTTTAATTACTTTTTAATTGCCACGTCACACATTTAACGGTCAACTTTTAGAGTTGACTGCCACGTAACCAAAAGTTAACGGAGTTGGACGGAGAGTGACCAAACGTGAACAGTTTCAGTAAACTGAAGTACCACCAATGGATTTAAATATTTCGAGTGACCAAACTTGAACGATTTTTGTAATCTCAGTGACCAACCATGCAATTAACCCTAATAAAAATATGATGTGGCTTGCAACTCATAATCGCATTAGGAGGTCATTTGCGAAAAAAATGCATCGCTAAGTAGATGAGTCTCTTTGTCACTTGTGAAATTTGGGAGAAAAATATAATGAGAGGTGACAAAGCAATGACATAGAAAACAAATACTATAAAGGGAAGGATAGAAGTTGGTTTACAAAGAAGAGATAATGACATAGTTGAAATTGTTGGGAAAATAATGAGTCAATTGGATCTTTTGGATGGATGAAATGACTATTCATGCATTTTTTCTCTTTTGCAAACGAGTCATTTAGTACCAAATTACTCAATCAAACGACCCTTAGATGCATCCTTGCAAAGATGCAAATCCTCCATCCTTCCTCCAATCAATATAAGGAGGTTCTCGCTAGGACCCCACTCCATTCCCTTTTTCTTGCCCTCTGCGTAGAGTAAGGAAGGGTGGTTTGGTATATTCACAATTAGCTAAATTACGAGAAGGGGGCTTCTGGGTTATTTATGGGCCTGATCTGAATGTTGTTTTTCTTTGTTTACGTAGAATTTGTTGGCCTTATCAACCTGAAATGAATGGGTGTTGCGTTTAATATTCTTCCTTTTGTTAATTTTTAGCAAACCAAACTCGACCATCAATTATTCATCGAGGAAGAGATGAACAAAGCAAATAAAAAAAATAAAATAAAAACAAAGCACATGTATTGAAACGCCGTGAGAGACAGCTTGAAGTGAAGCGGCTGGAGAAGGGCGAGTGGCTTTACATGCCAGCTGCACTGATTATTATCAGAACTATACATTATTAGGGTTGGATAGTTAAATTAACCGTGATAATATAATTAATTAATTATAGTCAAGGTTGTGCATATAATTTTTTATATTGTTATTAGCAATTATTCCTGACAATTCCATACCTTGAAGAAATAAATCATGTGGAGGATCATCCAAAAAGCAAAATATTGCTCCAAATTGATCTCCAAAAATCAAATTTAAGTAAATTAATAACTGTATACATCTTACAAATATAATGTATGTCTATGTTGCATGCGTCTTAGGAAAAAAAAGAGCCATTTTATATAACCAGAAGATGTAGTTGATTCTTATCGGATTCTATATAAAGCACAAAATAAACTTTCTAATGGTATGAAGATCGATGATAACTATTACTTGATTATAACCTTTCCACCTATTTCCCACTACTCGATCTTACAAAATTATTGCTCTCCGGTCCCCATATTACATTTTCATAAATTAATCGCTTCTATAAGAGTTGAGTTGATCAACCATTCACACAAAATTAGCAAGAATGAAACATACTCTTCATATAAGACAAAATCGTATATGGGAGTATTATTCTCCTCATGTACGATTTTACAATCCTTGATTTCCTCAATCTTTCATTTGGAATTGAAATTGGAAAAGTGATAGCTGACAGACGAGGAAGAATAAGGTTTCTATTGAAAAATCGTACTATTGTTCTTCTCATTGGCGGAGCCATGTTGTTGGTTGTGGGGTCCATGTTGTGGGGTCAATGGACCCCACTCGCAAGGTAAGGCCATGTCTAAAAAATGCAAATTTTCAAGGGAGGAAAAGGAGAATTGAACTTTGGACACCATGCTCCAAACTAAACACTTTTACCATTAAGACATGAGTCGTATTTGATTAATACTTGGACCCCACAATACTAATTTTCTGGCTACGCCAATGGTTCTTCTTCAAACAAAGAAATATTATACCTTCATTTGTTGTTGCATTTAGTCAAGAGATTGTCGTTCTTATGAATAAATTAAAACAATTAATGTTGGTGTTCATGATCTCTTCCAAAAAGGAAAAAGCATGTTATGCTCTCAGGTTATTGGCAAATGATGATGCGTTGAGTTATCATAGAAGTTGTTTTATGGAATTAGGTAAGGAATTTGTTTGAAACAATTCTGATTCACTGGCAAGTGTGTGTACCATATGGAGCTATGAGATTAAATTCTCATAATCAAATGATTACCAAGGATATAAAATATAATTCAAAAGATTTAACGAAGGAATTCAAAAAATTGTGCAAAATTGAATTCATATAGAAAAGGAGTATCATGTCGCAATTCAAAACTTTGAGTTGATATAGATGACAGTTGCATCTTTACAATGAGTGTCATGTCGCAATTCAAAATGCAATTTTAATGTGAAGGATGTTTGTTAGAAATAGAGGGGTGATGAAGAGAGGAAAAGATAGAAAATTAGTTTTGATTAGTTTATTTTCTTATTTATTACATAATATATAATATTTTCTTATTTATTACATAATATATAATATTTAGATGACCTGTGTTGACTAGTAATAGTCAATGTAACATAGAGAAAAATCTTATTCCATAATTGTTATATTGAACACTTTGGATTAAAAATTATAATTCGATGATAATTCGAAATTTGTAGTGGTATTAGACTTTTTTAGATGATAAATGTCAATCGAATGTGCGTAACTACGCCAAAAATGACTCCCCTCAATAATGCATATAAATTTAATATGAAGAATCATGATCAAAGACCACAATTATGTTTATTTCATACCCCTCAAAATATGACATTCATGAGTGAAAAATGATTCATTAGTAAAACTCGACTCTCAATTCATCGCGACTATTACTCACTAGCTTAGCCAAATGAACAAACCTCCAAGTAGACACACAAACCATAGGTGTAGTCTTGAACCCCAAAACCATGCTCTGGCCATCCATACTTATGGTATAAGGGTGCCCACTTGAAAACTTCTCTATAAACAGATTGGCCTGGTGCAAAGCCGCTTCACTTGGTTCAACCTCAACCATCCCGAATTGGGCAAAGAACTTCCTCCAAACCCCAATCCTCACACTTCTCATGTACCTCTCTTCTCCTTCACACGCCAATATGTTACTAATCTTGTCCCCCACGAAAACCGTCTCGACAACCACCCGGTTCGGGTCATCTCGGGTCATACCCAATTCAATGTTCTCGAACACCCCGCTGTAGTGGAACATGGCCTCCACGAACCTCTGTGCGAAGTTGGGGGAGTTGAGGTTGGCTTCCACCTCGATCGTCACCATGGCTCGCGGCCGCATTTGCTTCACAACCCTCATCACATGCTCCGCCTGACGTGGCTGACCCATCAGCCCTCTCAGCCCGTACTCCGAGTAAACCACCAACGCTTCCTCTCTGCGGTTCAGCCCGAACCGGTCCTGAGAGAAACCCCACCCGTCCTCCATCACAACAATCTCGAATCGAAACGGCAAGCCCATGCTCTCGGCGAACTTCGTCAGCCTGTCTCCCGTCTCCCCAATAGAAGCCAAGTGATCCGCGACAGTGGTACCGTTAACGCTGCTGCTCACTACCACCGCGGAGACTCGTAAAAGATGGACCGGCGGACCGGTTCGGTCCGACCAGCGCGATACCAGACCCTGCATGAGCGCGACCCACTGTTGACCGTTACTGATCCTGAGATCGATGACGTGGATCTTCCTGGCGGACGCCACCTGTTCCAGTATCGCCTGGACCACGACCAGATGTGGCACCTGGTACA